CAAATCTTGCAGCTCTGAACAGTTTGCCACATCTGGCTTATATTGGCAGAATATCACAAAAGAATCGATTACATCTTTGGGTCTGGAATGAGTAACTTGTTTCTGGATTTTACAGAAGTGAAACTGAACAAGTTATCTAAAGTATCTACAAATCACTAAATCAACAGAAGCACATTATCTGCGACGGACCACCAGGACAATTTAGAATAATAGTGCCATCCAGATTCTGGGATCACTGAGACAACAGGAATGCACTATCTGTAGCTACTAAGGCAATTTAGGATAATTAATCTGTCCTGGGTCCTAGAAGAACGTGCTTCGATGACCAGTGAGATCACAATCAATGGGATATTCCAACCTTCATCAATGGAGTGTTGGAATAGCATACATCAGTTCAGAAAATCAAAATAACTTTTAAATGAGTACAGAACCCAACACAGCAAGGTTAAAATATTAAACAGCAATTTTTTACCCAAGTATGGTTGCTACCAGACTTCAATTTCTCCTAAGAGTTTTTGGGGAAAGTTAAAATTTAGAATGACTCAAATGATGAACAAACAAAATATCCAATATAATAGAACTAATCAAAATAACCTAAATATCAAACAATTATTGAAATTGCTTAAAAGAAAATATGGTGGATTACATAAGGGTGTGCATTGTACACTATCTTTCCCTTATTGTGGAAAATATATGTGAGTTTAAATATGCATTGAAAAGGACCTAAAAGAATATATGCTAATGAGTTATCAGTAGTTCTGTGTGGGTGGGAGTTTAGAAATTCTTCCTTTTGCTTAACTGAACACTCTGCTTTTTCTTAGTGATCATGTACTATTGTAAATAGAAAAAGTCAATATAATAGTTCTCTTCTTAATCCATCAAAATTATTAATACTAGAAAAAAAGATAAATATCAATTCTTTACCAGTTTTCCCAGAAATACCTAAATTCTATGGTTTTTTAATACTATTTTCTATAACACCCTGGTTCCTCAAACTTAAATGTTCTTCCTCATTCCCCACACCCCAACCCCCAACCCATCATTTAACTTTTTTTTAGCCTGGCATTTTCCCTATTCTTTAAAAGTCCAAATCACCTTCCCTGCTAAGCTTTTCTTGACCTCTAATCTGCCTTTGGCCAAGGGTCTATGGTAAACTGGTCACAAGTTTGACTGGCTCACCTTTTTTGTTTGTTTGTTTAATATATTTTATTTGATTTTTTACAGAAAGGAAGAGAGAGGGATAGAGAATTAGAAACATCGATGAGAGAGAAGCATAAAGCTGTAGTACCAGGCAGGTTCATTCATTCATGTATTGTGTATGGCTGCTTTTGCCTCACAGTAGCAGGTTGACTAGTTGCAACAGAGACCAAATGGCCTCCATGTCTAAATTACTTATTCTCTAGCTCTTTGCAGAAAGAGATGAGTATTAGATGATGAGGCATCCTCAGTGCCCACACAGGACACTATAGATCTGCCTCTAGCTCTGCTTACCTTGCATCCCGGAATGGATGATGTGCTTTGGGTTTCCATTACTTTCAAGTGGAGGATACTTCCTAATTCAGGTTGGTTGGTCTCACCACTGAGCAGAGTGCCTTGTCCCCAGGAGGCGCTTGATAAATATATGCGTGATGTATGAAGTCACGGTGTAAGCTCCCTCCACCCAAGTGTAAGTTGCATGAGGCCAGGTGTTTTATCACCTTTGTTGGCTGTGTACAGTAGCCTTGATATCCAAAAGCATACCTAGTAGGCACTCAGGAAATATGTGTGAGAGTTGTTAAGTGCATCAATGTTGATACTATATTTTTTAGTTTTGTAATTTTTTTAAAATATATTTTATTGATTTTTTCAGAGAGGAGGAGAGAGAGATAAAGAACTAGAAACGTCGATGAGAGAGAAACATTGACCAGTTGCCTCTTGCACACCCCCTACCGGGGATGTGCCCGCAACCATTGTACATGCCCTTGACCGGAATCGAACCTGGGACCTTTCAGTCCGCAGACCGATGCTCTGAGTCAAACCGGTTTCAGCTAGTTTTGTAATTCTTTTTTAAAAATACATTTTATTGACTTTAGAGAGGGAGAGAGAGATAAAAACATCCATGATGAGAGAGAATCATCGATCAGATGCCTCCTGCATGCCCCCTCCCCCCCCCAGTGGGGATCAAGCCTACAACCCAAGCATGTGCCTTTGGCCGGAATTGAACCTGGGACCCTTCATGGATATGCTCTATCCATTGAGCCAAATCAGCGAGGGCTAGTGTTATAATTCTTATAATTCTTAAGTCAAACAAAAACCAAAGAAAAAGACAATGTTAACTTTGTCAAAAAAAGAAGTAATTAAGAGATCTTTTTAAGAATGTATCGATTTATCCCCTCTTCAGCATTTCCATACAGGCATAGCAACCGGTATTTCCTCCTCCTTTCACTCACTCTTCCACTCACTCCTTTCACTTACTCGTAGCCACTACAACTGGGCAGGTATTAAATCAAGATCCTGCTGACACCGAGTTATTAAATACCTGTGGCAGCAGGCTCCCAGAGCCAGCGAGACTCAGTACCTGGCCCCACTTCAAGTGGGGATGAGGTGTTCTTTAAGAGATTGATGTGCAGATATAAATCATGGCCTAAACACTGCCTCTGCTCTTGGACAGCCTCTCTCCCCGTGAGCTGAAAGCTCTTTATAGCGGATGAACGAATTTGTTTCCATATTCGCTCTATGCGTTTGCAGGAGGGATGAGCTCAGACTCTCCGCCCTGTGCTGAGTAACACCTTGCATGCTTACAGGATTGCCTTGTGCAATCACATTCTAGAAGTGCATTTCTGAATGACCAGTGTACTCACTTGGTGTCTGATCATATCACACATGCCATATTGTCTTTATGGACTTTATAACATTTCATTTTTTTTTTTTTTTAGGTTGAGTGTGAGGGTCCAAATCTTGATTTCATTTTGTGTTTCATTTTGTGGTGCCCCTAGTAAGTGCAGGCTGCTCTTTCCTCAGCCCCAGAAGTTCCAGCAAGGCCGCCTTTTGAGATGCAAAGGAAACAATATGTATCTCCTGACCTTTCCTGGTGAGGCCTGGCAGCTCCTCTCTCCCCTCACTCTGGGGGGTCGCACACCCCCTTCCTGGGGTCCATGCATGGTTTTATGGACAACCTAGTTCATGAGCAACCATCTGCTCCTCTGCCTCATCGTGAAGGAATTGGAAGTGGTTCCCCTTTAGAAGGGCCTTGCCCTCATGTACGCAAAAGGGTCAGGGAAAATGGAAGGTCTGCCTTGGTTTCCTGTTCTAATCTCTCTCTGTCTCTCTCTCCTCTCTTACACACACACACACACACACACACACACACACACACACACCTTTTAAAAACCTACCTGTTAGCTTTCATTTCTTTGACCAGCAATAGTGGGCATGATTGTGAATACCAATGAAAAGAGGTAAAAAAAAAAAAAAAAAAAAAAAAAAAAAAAAAAAGTGAAGTCTCTACCAAGGAAAACTGAATGGGGAGTCTTCGGGAGGTTTGAACAGCGAGGTGAGGGGAGTGTGGGCTGAGCCGTGTCAGACAGCCAGTTTCTCATGCAGCCTCTCCCTCTCCGAGCCTGGGCTCCCTCATCTGTAAGACGGGATAGCATCTGTCAGTGTTGCTGTGAAAAGCTCATGAGACAACTTAGTTCAGAAAATGCCAGTCACTCCACACACCATGTCCCGGCACTGAGCTACCCCCTTGAGGAAAATGATCAGCTGTTCTTTCTGAGTAAGAGAATGGCAGAACAAGAGACATAGTCTAAAAGATGCAGACCCAAGCAAGAACTATTGGAGAGTTTTCTAATGAAAATTGAAGGTAATTTTGATTGAAGGTAACCCAAAGCTTTGTACGTAGAGCAAACAATCATTGGACAGATGACCCAAGACCATTGTTCTACTCTGAAGGATACAGAGGAACCATTACTCATCCTAGTTATGACAAGGGACGTTAGAAGAGATTTGTAGCCTTTGTAGATTGGAGTGGAGAAGTCTTTCTTACTTGAATTGAGATCTGTCTTGAGTGAGAGAGGATAGGGTGGTGACACTCTGTGATTACAGATACACGTGTCCTTGTCCCTGGATGTGTGTTATGGGTGTTGACACTTTCGTGTGGAGGGTATGAAAGGCTGAGGCCCACTGGACTAGGGCTCATCCAAGGAGCGTCTGAAATAGGAATCTTTAACATCAGCCACCAGCGAGTCCCACATTCCTGGGGCCTGTCTTCCCTGCATCCCCCTGCCACCTGCATTCTGTTTACCATGAAACTTTCTGACTTTCCATTTTCTTCTTCCAGAAAAAGGTGATTTAAATGATAAATGATTAAATTGACCTATAAGTCTTATGAGAATGTGGGGGTGTTCAGTAGACATCCTGGATCTCATATCAGTGCCTCCAGGATGATAATGTCCACTTTGGGGTCTTCTCCTGAGTTTTTATCTCACTACCAAGGTGACTTTAAAGAGAGTTTTTGATCCCGGACCTTTAGGAAGAACTCTGATCACATTTTTCTTGGAGAAGACAAAGAAAAGCCAATGCTAAGGACCAAAACCCTTTTTGGGTGATAATGTAATATTTTTAATATTTAACAATGTTACATACACACCTGAAAATGTATCAACTCACAAAAAAATATTAGTTTGTTTTTTTTAAAATAAAAAAATCTTCAATCCAAATTTATTGGGATTACAAAAATAATGGCACATTTTGTTAACTCAACAGCTCAAAGCTACGAAGCATCTTTAAACAAACTGCTTCCTGCCCATACAAATCTCATGACATTAAAAAAGGAGTTTATTTTCATATTTACAGCAGAAACCTGTGGACTGTTTCTTAAGATTCTCTTTGGACTTCGTGGCTGAGGCTCCGTTTGAAAGTCAGAGGACATTCCCAATTGAAGAAGGTATTTCAGAAACAGCTCCCAATGCGTTTCGATTCGTGCCAATGCAAGATTCTGCATCCTCTTCTCAAGGCTGTTTTTATCGCAGAGCGTCGGGAACTTCCACCTACAAAAACAGGGGATTTTCTTTCAACAAAAACAACAGAAATGAGGAAGGGGGAAAATATCTCCAAGGCATGTCTCCAGCAGGATTCTCTGAGAGGAACGCAGCGATGGACTGGTTTTTGCTACCTGGTATTAAAATTGTATATTACAAATTAGGCTTGAAACCACTTGCAACCCTGCGGACAAGTGGATCTTTTTTGGAATGCAGATTATACTCCCTGATTTTCTAAAAAAAAAATATATATATATATTATTGATTTTTTACAGAGAGGAAGGGAGAAGGATAGAGAGCTAGAAACATCAATCAGCTGCCTCCTGCACACCCCCTACTGGGTATGTGCCCGCAACCCAGGTACATGCCCTTGACCAAAATCGAACCCGGGATCTTTCAGTCCGCAGGCCGACGCTCTATCCACTGAGCCAAACCGGTTTCGGCCCTGATTTTTTTTTTTTTTTTTTAATTAAGGGAATCGGTATTTTTACATGTTGGGGCATCTTTACATGGGACTGGCCCTTAAAAAACCTCAAAGGACCAGGCACATTTCGCAGATGGAAACCCGCCCACCAGGGACCTGCTCTTGACGTTCCCAAACTTGCTAGGCTTGCTCTCGCTTATTAAAACAGCAATCAGTACTTTGGAAGGCGACTTGGGTGCCCTTGCGCAGTGGGGCCTGCGCCCCAGACCCTCGCCGGGGTACTCACCCGCCTCAGCTGCCTCAGGCTGCTCCCCCGGATGGCCTCCATGAGGCTGTCGTGGGCGGACCGCTGTGGGGTGGAAGGCCGGTAGCTGTCTTCTGCTCTCTTCTCCTGCACCGGCCTCAGGGAGCTCTTGATCTCCTTGAGCACGTTCTTGGGCTGCTTCTTCACCTTTTTCCCTTTCTTCTTTTTCTGTCCGTTTTGCAGAGCCAGCTGGGCGCTCTCCTGCTGCTTGATGACCTCGGCGATGTTCCTGGTGATGAGCTTCTTCTCGGGGAGCGGAGGCGGCGGGGGCGGGGGCGGGGGCGGCAGCCGCTGCGGGGCCTGGGGAGGGGGCGGAGGGGGCGGCGGCGGGGGCGGCGGGGCCGGGGGAGACGGGGGGCGGCTCCTCACGGCCTGGACCTTCTTGGGGAGCTTGGGGGATGACCAGGGAGACTGCCTGGGCGATGCATAAGGCGACGAGCCGGGCGTGCCTCTGTGCCAGGCGGCGGCGGCGGTCCTGAGCTGGGCCGGGCCCCCGTCCGCGCCCTCGTGCAGCAGCTTCTGCTCCTGCAGCTTCTGCTCCTGCAGGCGCCTCTGCCGCTGCCGGTCCATGTTGCGCGTGAGGAGGCTGGTCATGCTCATGCGCGGGCCCGGGAGCTCGAAGTGGTAGCCCAGGCGCAGCAGCGTGGTGTTGTCGCGGAGCAGCCGCACGATCTCCATCTCCACCTGGCTGCCCATGATGTGGCGCTGGTTGTGGAAGCGCAGCTCGGTGAGCACGGCGTTGTGCTGCAGCGCGCGCATCAGGGCCAGCACGCCCTTGCCCGTGACGAAGTTGGACTCGATGTTGACGCTGGTGAGGTGCTGGTTGACGCGGAGCATGTCGGCCAGCGCGGCGGCCGCGGCGTCGTCGGCGTGCGTGTTGGCCAGGCTGAGGCTGCGCACCGCCGTGTTGGCCTTCAGCGCCTCGGCCAGGCGCGCCAGCGTCTGCGGCGTGAGGTTCTCGATGTTGTTGAGGTTCACCTCGCGCGTGTCCGGGTCGTTGCTCTGGACCTTGGCCAGCACCTCCTCGATCACCGTGGGGTTGCCGCTGGCGTGGGGGGCGGCGGGGGGCGGCGAGGGCTCCGGGTGCCTCCCGCCGTGGCCGTTGGTCAGGTTGATGGTGTCCAGCTGAGTTTTGAATGTCTTGGGCCTGGCGTCGTCGTCGGGATGGACGGCGTGGTGGTTCACGGTGCCGTTGATGGCTTTCTCGTCTTCCACGGCGCTGTCCTCCTCATGGCTGTCGTCCTCCTCCTCTTCTTCCTCGGCCTCCTCCTCGGCCTCCTCCTCCGCCTCCTCCTCCGCCTCCTCCTCGGCCTCCTCCTCCTCGGTGTACACCTCCTCCGACACCTCACTGTTACACTCAGTGAAAACCAGCTCTTCCTCACTGTCCTCCTTGTCTTCTTCTGCGACCTAAAGAGCATGGCACCGTCATTAAGTGGGTCATCGCTAAGCACACCCTGTAAATTTACAAAAGCAACATGGCTTTGCAATTCCCTCCATTGTGCAGACCTTGTGGGGCTTGGGTTCAGCAGACAACATTTTCCGTCTGTTTGTCTATGTGAAGGTGAACACCTTTAAGTTCAAAATGCTTACGTATAACCAAGATTTGCTGATCAGTAAGCCATTGTCATTTTAAACACATTTTAGAGAATAGGCCATATGTTGGGGGGAAAAAAACACTGTCATGATTTCTCCAACTGCTGCCCATATCCCTCCCTGTCCCCAAATAAATATTACATGTCTGCAACCATAGTCTACATATTTAAATCCAAGAGTCACTGTTCGTAGACAATGTGTATCAAGTGATTAGCACGTGATCACACCACACCACGCACTGTCATTGGTTCCGTTGTCGTGTGGCTTGACTTTCTGCAGCAGTTTAACCCGTGCAGGCCCATGTCCCCATCTGTGCTAAGCCACACCCCAGCCATGTGCACTGGTTCACTCGTGGCGACTGGTGAACTCAGGCATTTACTAAACCTACTCAGTATATACTTAATGTGACAGTAATGCATATAGAAAACTTTTCTGTGAAAGTAAACTTCTCATACACACTTGATTGTCTAAGTAAAAACAGGTTAACTAATTTGTCAATGTTTAAACATGTGTATTTGCAAAATCTACTTTACCAAATTAATCCACAATTTCAAGGTTTTAGTGTTATGTTGTACAAATAAAACAAGTACATTGTTATATGTCAATTTTATCTCAATAAATAAAGAAAAAAGAAAAAGCAACACATGGCAAGTACCACAAGAACATATAAGAAGAAAATTTAATCTCCTTGGTGACGAAGGTTAACATGTAATTGCATACTTTTCAACAGCTTTTTCTACAAACATTTCTTGTGCTTTCTGCAGAATAAGCATTCAGAACGCAATTTGTCGAATTAAAATGTACTATCATGTTGTCACTTTGAGAAATACGTTGGCACTTCAGCACTTCGGCTTTGGAAAACCCGTGATAAATTTTGTATCCTCTTAACTACCTACTCTGAAGTACTTGACACCTAGCCTGAGTACAATTTTTAGAAAATTCACCCCTCCCTTCTGGAATCAGCCCTCACCCCTTTGTCCACGTGTGTCTCTCCATCCCAAAGAAACACATGGCAACACGAAGACACAACGTGTTACTGGATTTCTTCTCTTAATGTTCCAGACTTTTCGTAAACTTGGTCTCCTGCAAGCAGAGGTGATGGGAGCCAGGTGCTGTCGGCCCGGCCTGTCTCGGTGGAGACAGAGGCGTCCTGTGCTTCTCCAGCATTTATCTTCCTCGGGGGCAGAGCCTGGCACAGGTGCCCAGAGACCCCACACCCGTGAGCTGCTGCTGGCCCTGCCCCTGCCCCTGCTCTGGGGCAGGAAACCCCGGGATCAGGGCTGCTGTCAGGGCAGCAGGGCAGCTCTTGGCTCTGTGAATAAAAACACTGAGGTCACCCTTTTCAGCAAATTAACTTGAAATCTCACGCGAGGGCAGGGTGAAATGAGACGGACCACAGAAACTAGACTCTACATGTAACGAGGAAGAGCAGAGAACAGTAGAAAATCTTGAAGCAAGCCATTGCCTCAGCCCATGGTCCTCAATTATTTACCACGTTTCAATTATGAAAGACCTTCAGGCAAATACAATTTCACCTTGTCTTTCCTGTTTATAAGACTACTAAAAAAGTTCAATTGACTCCTTTCTTTTTCTTGCTACCTTTTCTGATTAAAAAAAAAAAGAGAAAAAAAAAGAAATTGCTGACAGAGTTCAATTTTTCCATGTCCCTCCCCTGTTCCCAATGCCTTGGTCCTTCCCTCTACACTGGCAACTTTTTTTTTTTTTTCTCATCCTGAGGGCTCCTGCTGCCTGAGACCTGTGGAATGAGCCTTGGACAACACTGTGTTTGTCTCCAAGTTTGTTTGCCCAGTTGCTATCACAAAATAGCCTCCACTTATCCACTTGTTTGGAGTGGCAGGCACCAAGTGATGGCCTGGGGAAGGGGTCAGCCTCCTGGGATGGCTTGTCCCGTCTTAATTTACTCTCTCCTTTAAGATCAGGAGGGAGAGGTGTGTGTGTGTGTGTGTGTGTGTGTGTGTGTGTGTGTGTGTGTGTTTAGCTGCTTCCATATTTGCAGGAAAGGCGCCTTTCTCAAAATTCAAGGTACCGTGCCTTGAAGGCCACCCTTACATTTTGATCCACTTTGGTTTATAGAGAACTTTAGACTTTATCTGTAAGAGATGTTCCTTCAAAAATGTACTGTCTTCCAGAAAGCCTTCTCTGACACCCCCTGAAATCATCTTAGTGACCTATTCCCACGACATTGTACTTCCCCCTAAAAAGTGCCTATTGTAATGAGTTGTTTGTCATTTCCCCCCAAAGGCTGTTAGCAGGGTGAGGACAGCGATCACATCTGTTTTGCTCACCTGACTCAGCATGTAGCAGGGGCTCAGTCAATATTTGCTTGCTGAGTGGATGTGCACTGACATGGGCTAATGGCCTGAGTCAGGACTATGCCTAGGAGAAAAGTACTGACGAAGCTGGATGGAGGTAAGGTGACCGACTGGCATGGCTTTTTGGGGGTTGAAAACAGAGGGAGCTGGGTTTTGGCTTCTAAAATCTAGCTAGTCCCAGGCATGCAGAGGTGGTTGGCCACCCCAGATGGGGCAGGAAAGGGGGTTTAGGGAGCACCTAGAAGAATAGCAAAAGGGAGAAAGGTGTCAAGAGAGGAGAGGTAGGAGAATGCAAAAAGCAACCTGCCTACTTTCTAAATGAGTCCAGATCTCCTCTCCCCACTGCTCTGGAGTTGCCCCTGCTCCTGTGAGGATGGGGTGGCAGGATGGGGATTCAGTGAGGCAGAGATGGGTACCGTTTCTCCCAATCCCCTTCCTGGCATTGTGACAGGAACAAGGAGGTTTTCAGTTCTGGTTCTGGGTCAACCTGAAAAGAGCCGGTTGACTCTAGACAATTTGCCTCTGCAGGGGGGAGCGGGGGGTGGGTGTCTCAAAGCAACTCCAGTAGAGTTCAGTGGTCTCCAACTGTGGTGTGTGTCATAGACACCCACAGGGCTTGTGAAAGCACGGACTGCTGGGCCCACCCCCACAGCCCCTTGGTCAGCAGGTCAGAGGGAGCGTAGAATTAGCCGCTCTGAGAAGTTCCCAGATGATGCTGCAGGTAAGGCATCCACATTTTTAAAAATATATATTTTTGTTAATTTCAGAGAGGATGGGAGAGGAAGAGAGAGATAGGAGCATCAATGATGAGAGGGAATCATTGGCTGCCTCCTGCACACCCCCTGCTGTGGACCAAACCTGCAACCCGGGCATGTGGCCTTGACTGGAATCGAACCCGGGACTCTTGAGTCCGAAGGCTGACCGCTCTGTACACTGAGCCAAACTGGCCAGAGCTGGGCACCCACATTTTGAGAATCGTGGTCTTTGTGTCAATAGAACTTGGTTTGAATGTCAGCTTGCTTTGAAAGTGTTGCTCTCAAATGCATTTCCTAACCTCTCTTAGTCTGAGTTCTCGTGTGGGGGAGGTAAGAACTCAATGAAATGATGAGAATGTACTCAAGCTAGGGGAGTTAGAGCCTTGGTCTCCAAGGCCCATGGAGCTATTTAGTGTTGCATAGCTTTGTGTGAACCCGGGGGCGGGGGGACGAAGGGGAGAAGAGACTGCTATTCAACCGAAGTTGAACATGATTTTCATGAGCTTTTATAGAGCCAGTAGCTACAAAACCCCCCATCTCCTCATGGTCTGTGCTGTGTGCTCCTCACTCATGCTGTGGCTCCTGACCCGCCTGCCCACCCCCACCCACCGCCTGCTTTGAGCTTCTCCCTGTGGCTGGAATGGATTTACACCCTCCATCAGCCAGCTCCTGCCCGGCACTCCCTGTGACTGCAGAGACAACTGGCCGGCGAGGAAAGCGCAGTGAGAGAGAAGTTAGCCAGAAAGGAGTCAAAGTTCATCAACACGCAGCCTCTCTAATTGACTCGATAAGCCTCAGGCAGGGATCAGCCAAACTTCGGCGGGATCTGGTGGGCTCCAGCTGCCACTGACAGCAGGCTTTGCCCTCTGTTTCCCACCAGTCTAAAGACGTGATGGCATTAGCACGCCTTTGCCGGGGTATTGCTGCAATGGCTGTCCGTCCTGCATCTTCTGGGTCACCTTTAGTCTCTTTATGAAGGAGTTGCTTTCACAACAGTCATAAACATGTCCTATTTTATATACTTGCACATTCCCACATCAGGAGAAAAAAAGAAAGAGCTCTAAATAGCATGGCTGAGGAGGAATTGACCTTAAGTCCTGGCCTGTCATGTGTGTCCTTCCTTATCACCTCCCCCTCCAGCCCTTCCGTGCAGGCGGCCAGCGTGGCCTTGGCAGACACCGGCCCGATCCCAGTGACCCTTCCTGCGATGATTGACACGGGCAGAGCTCACACCGTATCTTGCTTCAAATGTGGCCACACACCCCAGCACCCAAATCATCTAACGGCGCCTGGATTCATCCTGGGGAAGGCTTCCCATGGGCTTCAGGCGTTTCAGATGATCGGAGTGAAGCACAGAGCTTCTAAACCACCGTTCCTGACCTGTCTTCTTCCAGACATTCAGAAACTGGCTGCATCAACGTCCTTCTTGCCATGGCCATTTTCCCACAGTCTTCTGCACTCCTTTTCATGATTCATTTGGCCAATTTAAAGCAACGTTTACAGGGCAGAGGACAAGAGCACTAGCAGAAGTCCATTTTCTGGCCCCAGCATCACGGCTGTAAAGTAGGAAGGGATCTGGTCTACCCAGGCATGCTTACCCTGGGCTCTCAGGTGGGCTTGGGGTGTGTGTCACCACTGGTGAAATCCTGTGTAAAACGGGGTGTGTGTGTGCGCGTGTGCGTGTGTACAAGTGCACGTGCATTTTCTTAAGGAGAACGTCCACAGCGACCCCACATGTCAAAAGGGTTTTGGTTCATACTCGGACAATAATACCACTGGCTCCCAGTCCCTCCGTGGACAGCCGGGAGAGAGGAGCCGGCCTACGTGGCTGTCTGCTAACAACTTAGACACAGAAGGGCCCCCTGACTCTCGGTTCCCACGTAATTTCCTGCCACCCCACACTTCTTGGTGTTGGAGAAAAAGAAACTTTCTACTGTAGCCACATCACAGTCCAAGCAATAAGAGTACCCATTTTTGTCTTTGAAAGAGAAAATAAATAAACTAACTTCAGACACAGATACTATGCCACATCCCCAACGTATAACTCAGATTAGACTTACGTTTGGCAAACTACCTAAACCTATGCCTTATTTGCAAGTTATTTTCTTCTTGAAGATTCCATCTTTAGCCAATTATTAGAACCCCAGCCAATCGTCGTACATATTACGATCCTTGGTGGGGGCGGGGGGCATAGAAGTCAGGGGACTCTTCAGCCTGGGACGGTGTTCAGTAGCAGGCTATATGGACAGAAACGTGAGGAGCACCGCAGGGGGAGAGACAGCAGGTGCCTAGGGCAGGGGCGGGGGCGGAGGGGGCCGGGGAGCAGCCGAGGAAAGATCCGGAAAGCCTACCTTTCCACACTCCCCCAGCCGCTCCTTCTCCAGCAGCTTCTGGGACTCCTTTTCCCAATAGGCCATGAGCGCCTCCCGGCTGAAGTTCCCCGTGGGCGTCTTCTCCGTCAGGCTCTTCTGCCGGAGCCCCACCGGGAGGCTGCGGTCAGGTTCAATGTCTTCCAGCTCCCTCTCCAGCTCCTTCAGCTCCTCGGCCGTCAGGGAAGCCAGGAGCTCGTCCTCGTCGATGGATTCATACTTGCTGAGTCCTCTCCTGTAGCCGAAGGTAGACATGGTCCCCGTTCGGTCAGACCCACCAGGAGCGAGAGGACCCGGGCACGCAGGGCGGCCAGGGGCGGGAGGCGGCCGGGGCAGGCTGGCCAGCAACTGGTGCCGGAGCGGCTGCGATAGCCTTTTAAGAGGGTGATGCAGGCCCTGACAATGCGGCCGGGGTGAAGGCATGGGCTGTTTTAAGCATCAGACGTCAGCCAGACATTTGAACACAAAGAATGTCACATCGGTGGTGGATGGAGGTCTCAGAACCAGTGGGGATTATGCACACGCCGGCCAGGGACAGATTTAGCTGCGCCTGATAGCTCCCGAGGACAGGCAGAGAGGCTTCCGATAGGGAGAGAGACACGGCTTTTTACTCTGTGTGCAAACAACAGGGGAATGCAAGCTCAGGTTGAAGCGACTGGCTACCCCCATGGTGGCCATGAAAAGGGTCCTTTCGCTCTGCGGGGAGGAGAAGTTAGTTATTCAGCTTCTCCTAAAAACACAGGCATGGGAACACACAGCTCTGCTCACAGAGCACTCTAGATGTTATTTTATGGTATTCTGTCGTTTACAAAGCACTTTAATACGGTTTTCCTGATCACAACAAGTCCTGAGAGACGGGGGACCGTGTCCTCCTTTACAGGTTGTGGCAGCCAAGGCTCTGAGAGACAAAGTGACGGATTGGAAGTCAGCCAGCCAGACTGATGGCTCCCATCTCCTCAGCCCTGAGTGTCAGGAAACACCGAGGTTTGCAAATAAACTCCGAAAAGACAGACAATAATACTGGGGAGGTTTGTCAAGAACTGACACTGTGCCAGCCAAGTGCTAAGGGTTGGATATAGTACATGTCATTGAATTCTGCAGTTCTGTGAGGTAAATATTATTCCGACATTTTACTAATATGGACTCAGAGAAGTCAAGTAACTAGCCCAGGGCCACAGAGCTAGAATTTGCGCTCATATTTGTGTCTGGGCTGAAAACGGAAGAGAATCTAATTTGAATATAAGCTAATGCTCATATTCTTTGTAAATGTATCATTTTAGCACAGAGATAGATAAAAATGGGTTAAAATGTAAATGCATTGAAATATACATTTATCAACACATGTATAATATATGACATCTTGCTTATGTATTCAGCAGGTGGCAAATGTATAAACTGTTTGGGTTGTTTCCAGGTTTGGGTTATTATAAATAATGCTGCTGTAAGAATATTTATATGCAAATGTTTATGTGGCTATGTGTTTTCATTTATCTTGGATAGATAGGAATTGCTGAGTTGTGTGGTAAATTTACATTCAACTTTTCCAGAAACTGACAAACTATTTCCCCAAATGGCTGCACCAGTTTACATTTTCATCAGCAATTGAAGAGAGTTCAAGTTTCCCCACATCCTAATTTGCTATTGCTTTTTTTTTTCTGATTATAGCCATTTCAAGAGTATGAAATGGTATCTCATTATAGTTTTAACTTTCATTCCTCTAATGATTAATGATATTGAGAATCATTTCATGTTTCCATTGTCTCTCTTGTGTTTTTTTTTTTTAGTAAAATAATTATTCAGATTTTATGCTCATTTTAAAAATAGGTTGTGTCTTATTGGGACATATATTTTCCATATATTCTGGACTTTATCAGAGATATGATTTGCAGATCATTTCTCCCATTCTTTGGCTTGTCTATTTGTGTCTTTTGAAGAGCAAATGTTTTTAATTTTGATGAAGTTTGATTTATCATATTTTTCTTGTATTGCTTGAGTTTTTGTTGTCATAAAAATCACTTCCTACCTCAAAGTCAGAGAGAATTACTCCTGTTTGTTTGTTGTTTTTTTCTAAAAGTTTTATAGTGTTAAGTTATTTTATTTAGGTTTGTTACCCGTTTTGACTTAATATTTGCATATGTGTAAGATAAGAGTCTAAATTCATCTTCGTGCATGCAAATACCCAATTATCTTAGCACTTAAAAAAAAAAGACTATTAAATTGCATTGGTACCTTTGTGGAAAATTAATTGTCCACAAATGTAAAGGTTTCTTTCTGGACTTTCAAATCTGATTTATGAATCTGTGTATATTTTCTATGCCAATACCACATGTATAGCTCTGTTGTGAAATAGAAAGTGTAAGTACTCCAACTTTTTTCTTTTGCAAAAATATTTTAACTATTATTATCTTAACTCATTGTGGTATACTGCCTCCAAAAATAGCTACAACTCTTTTCAATGATTCTAATGAGAGAGATGATTATGAAATTAGAAATGATGAATTCATTGGACTTTTTTTTATGGCCTGAGCATATGCTTTTGTGTAGCTCCAGTGGTAACACATCTTTTCTTGTGTGAAAATGATTTGGTTTTTGGAAAGGACAGAAAATCATTATAGCCAAGTGTGGGGAAGAAGATTAGTTATTCACCTGTATAATGACATTTTAGGTAAAATAATGAATTATGATTAAAGTTATAGTAAAACCTTTGAGGGTTTTTGTTTTATTTTGTTTTTCAAAAACATAAGAAGTAAATACATGAAAATGATAACACAAGTTTATTTCTTCAACAATTATGTGTTGGCCCATATGATATGTGCAAATTTGAGGCTATGTAATTTATGTACAAGAAGTAGTGGAATTGCATTTTACTTTCCTTTCTGTCTCTCTTGTTTTTAGTTTTTTGGCAACACTTTAATGTTTTTTATATTTGACAATGTATTAAACACACATGACATGTTGGATTCTATTTTAGGTGCTGGAATTAATGGGGTGAAGAAAACCAAAACATCCCTTCCTCCACAGAGCTTGCATTCTAGTTGGGGGAGACAGACAGCATGCAAATGACCCAGGAGCTACAGAACATGTCAGACAGAAGCTCCATGGACAGAAACGGAGCAGGACAAGAGGGAAGAAAGAAGATTGTGGGAATAATATTCGAAGTAGGAAAGATCTCTGTAATAATGTGACAGTTGAGCATAGACCTAGAAAAGTAAGGGCGTGTTGTGTGCAGATTATAATGCTACACATTCAATGTGATTATAAAGTAATTACTCAGATAGTCTTGGAATCACAGAAGATCAGAACTCAAAGGGACTTTCAAATACATGGATCCTCTCTTTATCACTTCTGTTCAGTGGTCACCTAGCCTTTGCTTAAACACTTTGGAAATTTTACATTACCAAAAATTTTACCAACATTCCATTGTTGGATGTCTTAGTCATGACAAAATTCTTATTTCTATTATGTTGTAAACTGATCTCTTGAAAAACCAGCCTAAAATTTTTAGTTTTCTCACTGGAACAACCCAGAATAAATAGACTCATGTGAGCTTCTCACAAATCTTGGGTGGCTCATGAATGACTGTGAAAATAATTCCAAAAGAGGAGATATTAAAGTGTTTGCTCTGTGGCAGCATCACTGGAAAAAAAAAAAAGTAGTAGTGTCTCAGGGACACTACTTTAAGACAATATTCATTTAGATACTCTAATATATATGTTAAAATCACTCTGATTATGATAATAATTGCAACCCATTGGGATCTTAATTCACTGGATCCCCCTTAAAATATTATCCACAAACTTTAAGTCCATTGAATATAATTCTACTGAGTGACAAAACACCACCACCTAGCTCTCGCTAGAGTTATGTATAATGAATAATTTAGATTTTCTTACAATCTTGTCTATATTAAGAGAGGGAAATAATCAAATCATATTTCTACCACCACCAGCATTTTCCATTTTGGAATTTTCATTTGAGCACATTATGGTGTGTTTATTTAAGATATATTTTTATTGATTTCAGAGAGGAGGGGACAAAGAGAGAATCATTGATTGGCTGCATCCTACATGCCCCCTACTGGGGATCGAGCCCTCAACCGGAGCATGTACCCCAACCAGGAATCAAACAGTGATCTCCTGGTTCATAGGTCCATGCCCAACTACTGAGCAATACTGGCCTGGCAAGTACATTGTGTTTTTGAGCAGACTTGCTTTTAGAGTCAATGATACTATAAGCCTTTTCAAGATTAGCATCGTTTGTTAATAAAAAACAAAAACTTTATTGTGGGGGAATTATTTTCATGGTTCCTGACTGGCAATCAGATACACACTGCTTCCCAGCATATTGTCCAGTTCCCTTTTGAGTGAAAACAGTTTCTTCTTTCGCCCTTTATTTTTTTGGTTTCCTTTTGAAAATGCTATTATTTGTTTATTAAGCACATGTTTGCCAAGTATCTGCTGTGTGGGCAGGTACTGTGCTAGGAGCTAGGGTTACACACAGAAAATAGAAATGGATCTGGCCCTTCTCTCAGGAGTTCATCCTCCAGGGAGAAAGGTAGACACTGAGGGCAGCAGAGTGCAGAGGGCTCCGCCAAGGTGCCTGCAGGAGGAGAGGAGTGGAGGGCAGATGCAGAAGCAATGTGCCCACCTGGGAGTGGGATTGGCTCAGAGGTTGATAAAGAGCATTCCACGCAGACGGAGAGGCTTCTGAGCAAACCACAGGAGGATGGCAGTATTATTCGGTGTAGGGATGGAAGTATGTGGAGATGGCCAGAATAGTACGGCTGTTTCTTGTGCTATGTCACTCAGAGTGCTTTGGTAACCTGACCCCCTTTCTCCCCCCATCATTTCTCCCTCTCTCCCTTGTTGTTGTTGTTGTTGTTGTTGTTGTTCTTCTTCTTCTTCTTCTTCTTCTTCTTCTTCTTCTTCTTCTTCTTCTTCTTCTTCTTCTTCTTCTTCTTCTCTCTCTCTCTCTCTCTCTCTCTCTCTCTCTCTCTCTCTCTCTCTCTCTCTCTCTCTCTCTCTCCAGCCCATATCATGCCTGCACATGGTAGAGGCATATAGATGTTGAACATTTTTTATTTGAAGGGCCATGTCAAAGAGTTTGGACTTTAGTATCATCGACTGTTAAGTGGAAATCTCTAACATCCCATCGCCAGCATTCATAGTCATAGTTTGCCTTCTTTAATGTAGGCAACTGTTGATCCTGGCAAGTGTTGGGAGAATGCCTGAAATTCAACAAGAATAAAACTCATC